GAGAAAATACTAGTAAAGCTATTATTATAGCTAATAAACTTAAGGAACTATACTAAGAATTATAAGTATAACTTAAATTTATTAAATAGAGAATAGCTAAATTTACAAATACTAGAAGAATTAGAGGACTAACCTTTAAAAAGGGAGATATAATCTACCTACTTTAATACTTATAAAATAATAAATAGCTAAATATTAAAATAAATAGGCTAAGTAATAAACTTAATTTTAAAAAACTTAAACTTTATAAAATTATAAAGAAAATTAAACCTATTAATTATAAAATAAATCTTTTACTTACCCTAGGGAAATAAAAAAAAACTATATATCTGAATTTTTATATTTTACTACTGGAAAAAGCATTAGTAAACGAGGAAATAGGTAAAGTTATATAAAACAAAATTATTATTTAAAGCAAAGAACTTAAATATAAGGTTAAAAAACTTAAAATAATAAGATTTAACAAAAATACTTAATAAATTAAATACTTAGTAAAATAAAAAGGCTATAATAAAATAGAAAACTTATAGTAAACTATTAAAAACCTTAAATACTTAAAAAACTTTATAAATAACTTTTACTAAAGTTTAAATTTAGTAAAAAAGGGTTAAAAACGTTCTAATTAATAGCGTTAACCGCAGAACCTGCAATTACAGAATTAGTTAAATTAGGTAATAATATTACAGCCTAATAAACAGCCTCCGCTTCCTTACGCTTAACCCTATTTAACTTATCTAAATCAGTAATACCCTACGTAATAGTATAATATATTTACTTATACTAAATCTTCTTTTATTTTTATAATTAAAAAACCTTTATAACTAATTCAGCTACGGTATCCTTAGTAGATTTAAGCTTATCTTTTAATTAAAAATATTAAGTAAATACCTAATTTAATTAATTAGTAATTAAACCTTTTACATTATAGTATAATTTATTAAGTTATATATAATTTAAGTATTACGAAGAATTATTTAAAGATAGTAAGTACTTATTAAACTTTTTTAAAATACAGAAGGAACAGCGCTTATCTATTTTCTCAGTACCTTTTAAAATAAATTTAAAAAAACTCTTTTACTTTTACATTTTTAAATAAAAACTCTTAGTAATATAATTTATTATAGTTAAGTAAGTTAGCTAAATAAAATAATAAAAAATAAAATAAAAAGCACCTACCTATAGATATATAGGGAACGTATTACTTATAGTAAAATCTTAGGGATAAGACTAACAGGAGGGGGATATTATATTACAACCTAACTCTTATAGTTATAACAATAGGCCTATAGGGTAGCCAGTCTCAGATAAACATCAGACTAACTAACTAATTAAAAACAAATTATTAAATTATTTAATAATCCAACGATCTATAAACAGATTATTAGAACTCTAAGATAATCTACAACAGAATTATCACTACTTAGTAATAATCCAGCCCAACCAACTAAGTATATAAATTCACTTTATATCACTCATTAAAATACTTAGATAACCAGTTATTATTACAGTATTTATAATACAATTAGATTAAAACACAGACATCTACTCTTATTTATATTACTAGCTGGTGATAAGATTACCCGTTTACCGACCTAATCGCTCCGCCAACATAAACCATAGAACTACTCTAAGGTTTATCCCTTGGAAACAGCTAACCTATAGTACCTATAGGACCCGGTTCGTCACATAACTAAATATATAAGTTTTATTTATATATTTATTTAAAATAGTTTAAATAGCTAATTATAAGTATAAAATAACGCTTAATTATACTACAGAAGTATTATCTATTAATTATATAAATAAACTCTCTTATCCTTATTAATTACCTGTTAGTTTAGCCTAGCCCTTCCGCTAATATAAACTTAATATAAGGTTTATCCCTTAGGAATCCCTTTTATACTAACCCTATAGGAGCTCAGCTTATTATACAACCGCGCGTCTATCTTAAGTTAGTATATATATATATATATTTTCAAAGAGTCTTTTTATTTACATAGATGTTTTTTCTTATTTACATAGATATAGTTTATGTACTTAACAACCTCTGAATTTTATAATAATTTAAAACAGCTATAGAATACCTTTAAAATAGAAAAACAATATTTAAAAAATATTTTTACTTTATTTAATAATAAAATATTATTATATATTTTTATAATATTTAATTTTAATTTTTAAAACCTATTTTTTTAATATTTAAAATTATATATTTAAAATAAGTGTCTTTTTATAAATAAATAAAATTATAAAATAAAATTTTAGAATTAAGCTTTTATTTACATAAATAATATAAAAATCTTAAGTACATAACTATTTTTTTACTTATATATATATATATCTTATATTAAAGTTATTTAAACTTTCTGGCTTAAATAAGTTAATAAAATGAAAAATAAAAAGATATTATAATAAATTCAATATAGATTTAAATAATTGTATTTTTTAAATATTTATTTTAACTTTATATTTATATTATTTTAATAAGTGAAGTCTTAAGTGGATTTGGAAATTTCGGGTGCACGGACCCTTTAGCGCTACGCACGGACCATGTCTGTGCAAATAGGAAAAAACGTCTGTGCAAATAGGAAGACTCTTTTCAAAATTTTGAAGAACTGTGTACCTATAAATATATATCTTTAGATCTTCTTTTCACAATAAATCTTTGCATACTTCTACACCACGCTATCAATTGAAATGATCCTTCAATCTCTCAGCTCTTTATTATAAGCCGTGGGCAGTTCTCCCCTTTGCCATACTGCTCTGAATTTTTCCGACCGCATCTCTGCTTTCCATTGCTTTCATCCATGCCATGTATTTGGGATACTTCTCCAAGCCTGCGTCTTTGTTTAGCTCTTTAAGCAGCCCTCTGCCGACTGAGGCCCATGTTACAAAAGACAGATCTGCATATGTGATCTTATCTCCTACGAGCCATCCCGTACCGTTTATCTCCAAGGCCCTGTTCAAAACGTCCGTTACTCGAAATATCTCATCGACGTAGCGATCGATAGCTGATTTAAGCTTCTCACTGTGGAATCGAGCGAACCAAGTGGCCTGGCCAAAATAGGGACCTTGGCCTTTGAGTGTAAAAGAAAAAAAGATTTCAGTCAATGAGAAAGGCTAGAGATCATACATATCAAACCAACGTACCAGAAATCTGAAATGCTAGCCATTGTTGCGTCAAGTGCTTTTTGGGTAGGCTTTTGAATGAGAATTTATAGTCATTGTCATACTGTTCTATCAGGTACAAGATGATAGCACCCGACTTTACATAATTTCTTAGCCCGAAAGCCACAACACAATGCCTCAATAACAAGAACGAAGACTCACCTCCCATAGTGTAATGCCAGTATTGGGATCCTTGATTGTAGGCAAGCGCCCATTTGGATTGAGTTTAACATAAGATTCTGCTTTCACATCGGAAAATTCCAGCTGATGGATCATATATGGCAATCCGAGTTCTTCAAGAATGATGCACACTTTCCTAATTCATGTGATAAGTTTTGCGCTTCATAAGTATTCCAGCATGCATTAGCACATACCATGGATTCGGTGCGCCCCAGTGGCCCCAAATCTCGATAGGTTGGAAAACCATGATGGATTCAATCAGGGGAGTATGAAAGTAAATGAGAATAGAGTGCTTGAAAGGATATGTGGTGATGGCCTGACAAGAAGTGCTGTGACTGGAGACTGGGCCGTAACTGGGTTTTTATAGTCGTCACGCCAGAGATCCAGAAAGGTCATTTGCAGTTCCAAACTCTTAACGTCGTGAGCGAGCGGTGACGAAGCATGAAGCCTGCCTGAGCAGGTGCCCAATGGAATAGATGGCCTTAGTCGAATGAAAGAGCCCAGCATCTTTGTGGAAGTATTTCGGACATATGGCTTGCGAGAACTGTAGCGCTGAAATAATATAAACTGCGTTTAGGCTGCCAACAATTGGCCATACCAGGTATCTAGTTCTATGGGTCGCAGGTAAGCGAGTACTCGTACATGTGCTAATATTCTTTCCAAGACATCAGTAGCTTTGCGAAAACACTAGTGCGATCTCCCGACTAAAGCGACACCCGTAATTACGCATTACGCTGCCAGTTATCTCCGTGCACTCATGGTTTTCTCAGACCAATTTTCAATTTGCGCACTCTTCAAAAAAGACCGTGGGTGAAGCTTGAGCTGGGTGTAGCTTTAACCATAGTAGACTACAGATGATAGGTTTTCTCTTTCTCACCTTTTCCTTACTCCCTATTTTCGAGCTTCCTTGTTTAAACTGGTTTACGCAGACGCTTTATGGCACGATGGTCAATCCTGGTCACGCAAGCAAAGGATGCACAACCTGCAAGATGAGGCGAATTAGGTGCGACTATAGTCGTCCGTTTTGCCTGCGTTGCGCTAAGTCGAAGAGAGTCTGTTTGGGTTATGATACTCAGAAAGAGCAAGCAACGGCCTCTCACAAAAGGAGCCCCATTTACAACAATGCCGATCTCATGATACAACCTTCAGCTATTGTGGGCAAACTGGATGGAATGAGTTCCTTATCAAGCTCCGATTATTACAAAACAAATACCAGCGCGGGCTTACCACACATTGATCGCTTTATTAATATATTTACCCCGCTTTACGGCGGAAAAGTCGACTTTCAGCCTACCTGGCAACATTTTTACCATGATCTGGGAACCGGAAGAAAGGATCTCGCAAGAGTCGTATGGCGTGTGCTTAATACTTTAAACACGGGCTTCTATTCACTACATCAATCTATGCAGACTATAGCGGCACGAAAAGATCTGCTTGAAAGATACGGCTCCGCTATAAGGGAGCTGAGAGAGGCTCTCACAAACTGGCCAACTTCACTTGCCTTGGTTACTCCAGTTTTTCATTTTTCCTTGTATGAGGTAAGCTATGTTTTGTGGGTGGAATTTATTGCACTATTCTAACCACCAACTATAGATGGTTGTCAATCTAGATCCGGCAGACAGAACATGGCAGACTCATCTTTATGGCCTATTAAGTATACTTCGGCAACTACCGGGAAATTTTACTAGATTCACTTTAATTAAGGCAATAAAGATTTCTGAATCAGCAAAGGATGTCCATAAAGCTTTGGAATTATCAACTGCGGACGGCCTGGAGAGGGCGTGCTTGCTATTGGATATTGTCAAGCTTCAGCTTCGTAAGCTGGTAACCGAGATGGATACTAATGCCAATATTTCACTAATGACTGTACGGAAACTGGATATGCAGAAATTGCGCGTGTCTATTAAGTATGTTCAAAAACAATTGGACCTATTTCCTATGATACTGCGCGAAACCGTGTATTCTAAGATAGCAGTCATTGGCATCGATAGACCTCGCAGCGGTAACCAGACAGTTAACGAGTCACGTAAGTAAAACTAGAAAAACAATATATTGGAACATTCTCATTGGATTCATGGACGTTGACCATTGAGTAGAATTCTTTGTCACACTATGGAATGACTTTTACACTCTGCGGATTATAACATCAACTATGCTTCTTAATATAGGTAGCGTGGTTTATCCGAATGCGGTCTACAGTTGCAAAAGAGAATTTACGGTATTATCAAGTATGATACAAGAAGCTGTCAGCAGAATTTGCTCTATCACTGCTTATTACACCGGATCATATCCTCAGGCAACGCTAGATTGCTTCGAAATGCCAGTGATGAAGACAACACAGGCTTTGACTTTGATATGGCCATTATCTTCCGTTTTAATAGCTCCAGATCTAACAGATCAGCAACAAAATTGGGTTAAGAACGTACTGCGGAGTATTGGGGAACAATGCACAATTCCTAAAGCATTGTCATTGGTAAGCTGGCTTTGAAATCAACCAATCTGCTTATATCCATTATTAAAGGTATTCTGACTTGGCCTTTTAGGCATGCACAGGGAAGGGAAATATACCACAGTCAGATATATTAGCAGGCATCCTCCTTGTTAGCCTACTAAATATCTTACCACAACCTACTTTTTTCTATGAAAGACAAACCTGCGAAAACAAAGTAATTTAACTCCAGGACTAGTTTGTTCACAATTTAGCGGAATTGTGCACGTGCATGGGTGCTAGAGTTGGATTTCATATATCCTTATAGATTTAATATTTAACCTCTGGTCATACGTAGGTCGTCTATAATAGATTTCTTCTGGCTGAATGACTATTCCCTGCTCTACATGGAAATTAATACGTAGAGGCCGGTAGGCGTTCTCAATAATCAATGGGGGAACACCCAATAAAAGGCTCCTAAATGTTTACATCTTTTTACGTCACGCCATTATATATTTACAACAGCATACAGAGTGATCGCCGGAGTAATACCGTTCCTACGTAATTGGTGTCTACAGACACAAGCCACACTACACTGAGAAGTGTGCAACTCGCAAGTCGCACATAAAGCGAACGAGAGTAACATAGAAGGTGTATTTCCACAATCTCTCACACAAGGTCGGGCGCAGTGGATATCAGCCGAGTCAATAGGCAACATTAAGCCAACAATCTCAGCAAAGATTAGAGACTGTAGCGACCTAAAGAATACCTCATTCAAAATCTCCAAGATGCTCACAGAATCAGAATGCGCCGACCTCTCTCGCGAACGTCTAGTTTAGATTCAATCACCAAAGATCGGCTATACATGCACCGGGTTGCTCGAGAGATTTCGGACAAGACTGATACTGGTTAATGCCGAAGCGCGGCGCTAACTGCATTGCATCGGCGCTTCCTTGGTTGGATATTATCGTCTCGTCTACGCCGAAGTAGGCCATGGCAAACTCGGCGGATGGATCAAATCTGAAGAATACAGGTATGTACTTGAAAGAGGTTCCCCCAAACATCGGACTGGATGCTGGAAGATCTAATTAGATCGGGATCGTCTGGTATTGCCAATTTCCATCCGCAAGGTATCTTAGCATAAAGCAGCCGCTGTCGCCCCATGTAATGAGAACAGGTGATTTAAATACCTAGTTGGGCTTGCTGAGGTTGGCATCACTCATAGGAAATGCTACGGTAAAGATTACTAGCTTAAATAATCATTCTATCGCCACCTAATCAGTAAGATATGCAAAAGATTTCCTATGTTTTACATAAAGCAAGCTTAAATCCTCCTAAGGTATACTTCCATAGGGGCAAGCGGCTTAATTAGCCCCCGCTTCTTTTAGCACTGCTAAAAGTGCTTTAAAGTTAAAGGCCACTTTAATTATACTATAGGGATAAACAGCTCTCCGTTATATAGTTAATTATATAATTATTTTATAAAATACCCTTTGACTTATAAATCTTTACTATTTCAGCAGGCTTATACTATAGTATACCCCTCTTTATATAATTTATATTAAATATCCAGGTAAATTTACTATAAATTCCTCTAAAGATAGCGCTATTTAAGGTATACTAGGCCGTACTAAGCTTAATAATTAGCTGTCTTTTATATAGTATAGCTTTTATACTTAGCTACTATTTCTTCTATATATTTTTAAATTTAAAAATTATATAAAGTAATATTAAATAAAAATAGAATAATATAAAAAAGAACTATTATAGCTTTTTTTAATTAAAACTTACCTAACAGCAGCTGCTAGATTTACCTATATATAACTACTATAGATAACCTTACGATCTTATTAAAAAACCTTAAAAAAAAGTAAACATTATATTTAGCATTATTATAAATACATAGGAATTTTTAACTTTAAAGCTCTAGCAAAAGGGATTTAGGTTTTAAGCTTCCCTCCTACACCTACAGGTACCCTACCTTTTAAGTACTTAACTACTAAAAACTCCTACCTATTTAACTAACTATTAAATAAAATAACTATAATTTTTTTATTTATAATCTTATTTAAGGACTTTAGAGAGATAGAAATATTTATAAAACCCTTAGATAATTAAAATAGAATAAACCCTATTATCCTTAGACTTATAATAGTTTTTTAACTTTAAAAAGAGGTAACTCCCTTAGGCCTAATAATAGGAGAAGTTATAATCCTTTTTTTTACCTTTAAAAAGAAAAGATATTTTAAAAAAGCCTTTAATATAAATAAAATACCCTTACCTAGCTTTAATAAGGTAAAATTAAGTATAGCGGTAATAATAATTATAGTATAAATAGCTTTAAAAAGCTTTATTACCTTTATTTTTAGTAATATAAAAAAAACTACTAACTTAAGTAAAAAAGGGAAATCTTTTACTAAAAATAAAATTATAAGTTAAATTAATAAAATTAATATATAATAATAAGCTAAATAAAATATAGTATTAAGTATAACTATAATTATTAACTTCTACTTAGTATAATATTTATTTTAACTTTTTTTAATAATAGTAAAATAGGTTTAATTATACTTAAATATTATATTTAAAAACTTTATTACCTTTTATATTAACCTTAAAAAACGGCCTAAAAACCTTAAGAAATTAAGTAATAAAGAAAAAGCTACTTAATTAACTAAAATAGTATTAGTTAATATATATTATAGTAAAGGAGATAAATTAAATAGCTTTAAGTACCTTACTATAATAAAAGCTTCTGCAGCTATTAAAAAAGTAGGCTAAAAGGACCCTAAGGTTATATAGGTATAAGTTATATTATAGAATACTACTTATAATAAAAAGCTGTAAAAGGGTAATAATACTTAAAAAAATTCTACTCCTAATAGTAAAAGGCTAGCCTTTACTAATAGAAAATAAAATAAAAATAAAGCTATATTAGGTAACTAAAAGCTTAATAATTATATTTTTATTTAGGTCCTACTAAATTATAACTAGAGAAAAATAATAGCTATTAGTGCTAAATAAGAATTAATTAGCTTTATAAAACTTAATATTAAGGATATTATTTACTTTTAAAAGGTTAAATTAAGCTTCGCCCTCTAGGTAAAAGATTAAAATACTAAAAATAAAATTATTACCCTTAAATTAACTATAGAAAGTAATAACCTAAAAATTAAAGAAGTATATATATAAAAGGTCTTTTTTATATATAATATATTAAAAACTTATATTAATATAAGTAGGACCTATACTATAAATGTATTAATCCCTAAGGAGGTATATATAAGGCTAAGGCTAAAAGTTTATTAGCAGCCTATTATAAAGCCCTCTTTAGGAAATCCCTTAATATATATAACTACTTTATCTTTTTTAAAAAAAATATTAAACTTAGTTTTAAACTTTTTAATATTTTTTACCTAGCTAAAGTTTAAGTTTAACTACTTTAGGTTACTTAATATTAGTAATACTTTAATTTCTATAACCCTTAGAATTATACTAAAATTAAAAAATACCTTAAATATAATAATATTATAGTAAACTACCTATCCTCCCCTTAATATATTAATTATAATAACCTTTATATAGTAAACTTCCTAAAGTACTTTACTAAATTAGTTATTAAAAATAAAGAAAAAGTATAAATAACTAAAGCTTAACTTTAGGTTATTTAAAAGTTAGGTTAGTAAAAGTATAATAAAGTTAACCTATTTAAACTTAAATTTATCTTTACCTTAGCCTTTAATACTAAGAAGATAATTAACCCAGGGACTTAAATAAACCTTTGTTTATAATTACTAATATTTAGCTTAGTATTACTTTTCCTCCCTTAAGCCTTAGCTAAAAAGGTTATAGTTAAAGTTAACTTAGATAAAAAGGATTTTTATAAAGGAGCCTCCTTTATTAAGTTAGTAGTTTATATAATTAGCTTAAATAGTAAAAAGAAAAATATAAAGGCTAAAGGGAATAAAAATATACTTAATACTCCTTTTAAAATTAATAAACTTTTTAATATAAGCTTATAAATAATAAACTTTATTATAGCTACTAAAGAAATATTAGCCTTAAAATCTTTTAAGCTAATATTAAAAAAAGTAGTTTATATTAGGATATTACTTTATTATTAATATAAAAAGGTAACTATAATATTATATTAATTTAAGAACCTTATACTTAATAAAATAAAGTATTAAATAAAAGGTAAACTAAAAATTATTTTAAATATTAAGTATATAACCCTTTAAATAATTAAACAAATATTAAATTTTTAGTTTTTATATTTATTAAAAAAAATTTAAATTTTTTTAGTAAATAACTTTTTTCCTTAAGCTTAAAAAATAAATATATATATTAAATAAAAGTATATAATTATATTATTATTAATATTTACTAAAGGGCTTTAGTAAACTTAGTTATAAAAACCTTTACTAAATAAAATCCTCCCCCCCTTTATTTAATTATTATAGGTAATTTTAATATTTTATATTAATTTTAAAAACTAAGTAAAAGTATAGACCTAGTAGGTAATAAAATTATAAAATAAGTAAAAAAATATAATTTTCTTTTAGCTTTAATAAATATACTTATTTAATACTTAAGAAAATATATTAACTTAGTTTTTATAAACTACTTTATATTAACTAAAGTTAAATACTTTTTTAATATAAGGTTAAATTATTATATAGTAATTATAAACTTACTTAAGTCCTTTAAAATAACCTTAGAGGTAAGGAAAAAATATATTTTATTAAAATATTAAAAAGATTTTAGTTAACTTATATATTTTTTTACTTAAACCTTTTTTATAATTAACTTAATTATATTATTAAAAATTAACTTTAATAAATATACTAAGGCTTTATAAAACTTTTTTAAATAAGTTATAAAAGAAGTTAGTAAAACTAAATATTAAAATAGCTATAATATATTATAGTAGTTAAAAATATATAAAGTAGCTTATAAAGTTCATAAAAAAATAGTAAATAGTTCCTTTACTTAAGAGGAAGTTTATAAAACTTTTAAAAATACTATATACTATAGTAAGTAAGCTTACTAAAATAAAATTATAATAAAAGCTAATATTATTAAAAATATTTAATTAATAGCTAAATAATATAAGGTAATAAATTACTTTTAACTACTTTTTTTAATAAATAAGGATAAAAATATCTTAAACTTTATAAAAAAAGTAACTTTCCTTAGAAATAAACTTCTTAAGTATAAAATAATAAAGGAGAATATTTTAAACCTGTAGAAAAAGGATTTTTTTTATTAATAAAAATATTTACTAAGATTAAATAATATTAAAATTAAAAGCTAAAAAAGCTATAATAAAATTAAAAAATACTATATTTAATATAAATAATATTTTAATTACCCTTCTATAG